CGCCTGCGAAGCAAGCGTGCGCAACGCCCGAGTACGTAGCTCCGGCCTCGAACACCTCCGGGTAAGTGCCCGCGAGGACGTTAGTCATCATACCGCCGGAAGAGCTGCCCATCACATAGACACGCGAAGCGTCGGCCTTGTATTTGGCAATGGTGTAGTTCACCATGGCAACGATGCCGAGGGAGTCGCCCCCGGCCCCATGCGTGAGAGAGGCAGGATCGTTAACACCCCAACAGTTGGACATGTTGGGTGTTCCGGGGTAGATGAGGATGAAGCCGTTTTGGTCGGCGTAGGAGGGAAGGCGTGTGCCCGAGTACCAGGAAGGAGCGGTCCCGCCACAGCCGTGGAGCTGTCATTGCCTCGTTAGCACCGCGTTTTTCTAGAGAGGAGGGAAGTAGAGGTACTCACAGCTACAATGATGGCGGGCTTTGTGGCCAGCTTGTCAGGGACGTAGGTGTACATCTGGATCTTGGTTGGGTTACTGCCCCAGTTCGTCACCTGTTGCAGCGAGGCACAGAGGCCCGTGGCCGCGGTGAGGGCGAGGCCAAAAAGTGTTCTGGCCAACATGGTGAAAAGGGTGAAGGAAATAATCGAGGTATTACCGTATTAGTAGATGATGGCTAACTGCTTGCTTTCCCCAGATTCTCGATCCGAACTAGCATGGCGCCAGACCATTTATACTTCACTCATCATCTAAAGGACACCTCTGAGGCTACTCCACGCGGCCACGAATCTCCTCGATTAAGTGAACATCGTCCGCCTCGACAACGTTTCCACGATCCTGTGCATAAAAAGCCTGGCCCAATCGAAGTGGCCGTCCAACAGCGAAACTCCCAACTAGGCAAACTCCGAAAACTCCGTAAGCGATGTTGCCCTCGTGTCAGGGAACGGGAATCTCGAGGTACATTCGGCAAAACAAGATACACGCACAGATGGCGGGTAAATGCCCTCGTCAACCCGTCACAACGTCGTATTTCCCCAACTGTGCAGTGTCGCCCAGATCTTGGTATGGTACCCCAGAGCGTCCAAATAACCTTTTGACTTTTCGGAGCCAAAGAGCCGCAGCTTCGGCAAGTGGTGTCGGTAATTGGGAATAGCCTCACCGTTGACACTCGTCTGTCATTGGCGTGGAAGCAGACTAGGTGACTTCAGCCATGCTTCGTTCTAATGCCAGTGCATTGAAGCAACACCTGATCTCCGAGAGGGACTTGACGCGATGATCTGACCAAATCTCTAGCGCTGTATCTTCCCTCTTTCTCCTGTCATGGGGAATACCTTTCCCCGTTCCCTGGCTAGAAACTTCAGTGTCATGCTGGTTTATGTCATTCGTGGGGAAGGACACTCTGTTCCATTTGCCGCTGACTGTATCCGAAGTGACAGCGATGGGAGCCAGCAATGATCGATCGTATCATCCATATTGGTGTGTTCATTATGGGTGAAATGCGGCCTTTTGCAAGCCCGTGTATCCGGACGGCGAGCTATCAACAGTTCCGGAGTAGATGTTACACATCCACATCTTGTTGAATCGATTGGCGTCGACTCCCTCCTGCGCATTCACCGTCTGTTTTCATCATGGCAACTTGTCCCACTTCCATCTGACCTTCGTCAAAGTTGCGGCCAATTCCAAGGTGCAAGATGAGTGTGCCTTCAAGAGTCTATGGAAGTGTTTGGACATGGACGCATCAACACCGACGGGGGTTCCAACATCGCCATCCAGGTCCAGTGACCAGGGACATGTACCTATCCATACTCTCAGCCAAATAACCCTTTGACGTTATTCCTTGGTTGGCTTTGGCCAGCGCTTCGCCGACCGCGCCGTGCCACAACATGGGGAACCCTTTGTTCCTTATTCCCAAGCTTTGAGCGACCAACTGGCAACTGTCCATTCAGCTAGACGCTCTCTTGCAACAAGGCACAATGGACTTGCGAGGCGCTTTGAGCACGAAGCTACCGCGATGTCACTGCCAGTCAAAACTGGAAGCGCCGATACGTCGCCGATTGTCGACTGCACTTTTTATACTTCTTGCGCCGGTTTAACAATACCAGCAACGGCGACATCGAGGCGGAAGCTATAAGGGTGCTGGCAAGCTCGTAGTTTGTTGCGCCCTTCTGTCCCGTCAGACACACTTGTTGCCATTCCAAATCCGTTGACCTCCATTCCTTCTTCTCGTCTTATCGAAACACTTTTCTTGATCTGTTACAGTACCTGCACTTGAATTCCTCCGTATTTCTTTCAGCTGTTGTGCTGGCCGGATTGGACCATCTCAGTTGGCTACTGGATAGCCTGAGACCTCGTCTCCGACCCCTGCGCAACACTGTGCCGTCAACCACTTCCCATCAGCAGACTTGCCTTGAAGCGGAGATGCCCTCCCCGTGTCGTACCTTCCTTTCCTTCCTCCGCATAGGACAGGCCATCCTCTCAGCCTTGACCTTAAGCTTGCCTTCCACAGCAATCGCCCTTCCCGCACCCGAACCCGGTTCCGTAATCGGATCCCTTCCATCGGCTGTCTCCCAGGTCGCGAAAGATCTCAACGGACGCGATGACCACGGTCCGACCAACACAACTGGGGGCGGCGCTTGCTTCAAAACGACATACCCATCCCTCTCCGCCTCCCCCGACAAGCAGGTCCCGTACATCATGTCCCTCGTATGCCCCGAACACGGACTCGGAAACGGCACAGACATAGCTTTCACCATCCCCAAGGACGCCATCGGTGTCGGTGCTTGCACCCTCTTCTTTGCTCTTCCCCCGCCGTCGGCGAACGTAACCGGCAAAGCTAGAATTGATATCCGGTCCATCGACGGACCTGCGCCAGGGGGGTTGGCTGGGACAGTTTCTATTCCCGAGGCAGGAGCAGGACCTATAAATGGGACCACGGCGTCCAAGAAGAACAAGAGACACAACGGAGAGCAACACGGGGATACCGATAAACCGGAGGGAAACGCGCAGGATCAATGTGGTGATAAGTGTGGAAAGGCAAGGGAGGTCAATAGCTTTCCGTGCAGAGAGAAGATGGCGTTTAGGTTGTCGGTCAACAATGATGATGGGAAATACAAGAACGGGAATGAAGTGAGCTTTTTGGAGGGAGAGGGGAGTGGGTTTTGGATTAGGTATGGGTGTTGATGATTCGTTGTGAACTATACTGGCCCTGAGAGGATGTACTCATTTGGAATGTGGTACGTGGGTGTTGACTGGTTCCCCGGAGGAGCTGTGTCCTGTGTAATGGCCGGAGGAATGAGGGTGAGGAGACGAGACACTACCTTAGTGATGATGACCGGAAGGCGGGTGCTGGACACTTTGCTAGCCAGAAGTAATGAAGGGCAAGCTCGATTGTGGGTGGAATTGAACTGATTCGTGATGTCGTGGCCTACATGAGATGCATTTTCAGTGCAATTCTAACCCTCGACCATCCAACATGGCGTCAGCGATGTTGCGGAAGTACTCCCAGCTTGAAGACAGAGGGCCGCAGTCGGTAAAGCCGTTGATGGATGCCGTTGCTATGGGACCAATTATTGGTCCTTTCTCCTTTGAGTACTCCGATATGGCACCGATGGTTGGGAAGATGAAGGACGCATTGAAGTTCGGCTTGGGCCATCGTCCATTGCGACATGGTGTGTTCTTGCGTTTTGACCAGCCACCAGTACTGCCCGGCGGAGAAGCGGTCGGATAGCGTGACGGAAGAGTGCAGCAGCTTTTCGACGTGGGATTTGAGGGCATCTTTGCTTATCGAGAACATGAATCGTTCGAGACGGATGCGCATTGGGTCGTTGTCTTTCCAGTCATCGTAGGAATTCCACCGGTCGGGGGGACGTTGTTTCTTGGGATGTTCGTGTAGAAGAGGGGTGACGGAAGTGGACTTGTCGAGTCGGGGATTATCACCAAGGAAAGCCATGGTGGTGATGGTGGTGGTGACCACTTACACGGGGCCAGACAGCGGGATCAGGTGGCGAAACTGAATTCGGGTGTTGCTGATGCCAGAATCTGTTACTTCACAGCAAGTTTCTGTTGAGAATGGCTCGATCTTTTAACCTGAAGTTCGATCTATGTCCGTTTGGGGATTTTTTGTTTGAGAGTGACGGAATCAGAGGGGCGTGAGCATGAAAGGGAGTGATGTTTACAACCACAATTCCTACAACATGATGCAACCCGTCTACCATCGCTTTTGCGCGCAATCCCACGTCTTATCTTGGAATATCAATTCCGACTTGAACCAGATATTGCCATAACGACGCACTTATTGGGCTGTAGGTGTTGGTCCGACGCAGTGTCATGTCGTGCGGTATGGTTGTGCGAGACCATCATTTCCTTGTGGTGTCGCAGATAAAAAAGCCAAATTGAGTGAAATTTGCTAACAAGCGGTTGTATAGTGTAGCGGTTATCACTCCGGATTCTGAATCCCCTCAGAACATTCCGGCAACCCCGGTTCGATTCCGGGTACGACCTGTTTTTGAACTTTTTGTTCTCTTTTTCTCTTTTGCGTCGCCAAGCTTGAGGCTTTTTTCTTATAAGCCAAGATTTTTGCTGCCGCACAACAAGTCAACAACAAGGTTGTATAGTGTAGCGGTTATCACTCCGGATTCTGAATCCCCTCAGAACATTCCGGCAACCCCGGTTCGATTCCGGGTACGACCTGATGTTTTGCGATTTTGTCTTCCTAACGAACTTTCTTTTTTTTCCCTGCTTCAGCAACAGCGAAGTTCATGGAAAGCATCATCACTCAAGCTAGGATGACGCACAATTAAAGGTACCTATCAAGATGTGGGCAACACGAAGGACATGAACAACACTTTTTGCTGCAGGGAACGGAATTTACAGATCCAATCGTGCCTTCTCAACACTCATCTTTGAATTGAACAGCACTTGACATCTTTCCCAGGACATTAGCAACAAAAAGAGAGTCAGGCCAGCTACTCGTCAGGGCTCGCAGCCATTAAGAGGACAGGCGATTCGAGCCCTGAGAAGTAACAAGCTGAAGCTGGAAAAAAAAGGAAAAAAAGACAGGTCGTACCCGGAATCGAACCGGGGTTGCCGGAATGGTCTGAAGACATCAGAATCCGGAGTGATAACCGCTACACTATACAACCTTCACAAGCGGATGATGATTATTCATTGTTGACCTGCGTGCTGGGAGTGCGGCCTTGATCAACCCATCTATGCCCTAATCAAGGTGGAGATCGGGCATGCGGTGGATTCGTGCTTTGGACGGGACCCTGGGTAACGATGAGGCCGGGATGGCCCGCTCCGGATGGCGGAGACTCCACAGGGGTTCAAGCTGAGGACGTCATGGGCAAAGCTATCGCAAGGGGAATGCTTGGTGACCAATATGTGTTCATGCGTGTATCTTGTGTCTTTCGCGATTGACGACCGTTTAACTCGTAGACTGTCCTTGCCGGCCACCTGGCAGGTACTCGTGTCATCGTGTGGGTTCAAATCACCTGTAACAGCCCTTTGCACACTGGGCCTGAAGGGCGTTTCTAGCCCAGACGCAGACGAGTACGGCTGGGCGGAGACGAAGGCAGAGTTGCGGAAGCATAGCCTAAGCCACCGCCCAACTTGGAAGCTTCTGCATCTCGGTGCAACAAAGAACCAGTTGCACCCAGGCACAGGTTCGGCACACATGCGGGTAGTGTAGCCGATATTTTGTGATGGCTGTCATCCCTTCTTTTAGCTTTGACTATCCGTCCGTTCCCAGTTCCGATGGAGGCTGGAGGCGCCACTAAGGCCTGGAACAGAAGCCACGGGTATACCCTTCCGAGCGGCCCGCGGGGGGGTTCTCGAAGCCGGCACGGGTTGATCATGTCTCATATTCAATGGATGGAAAATTTGTCTCTTGGAACGACCCGGAGGAGGTTACATGGCAGTTTTGCGCTGGTATGCGTGCGACTGTGACACAGGCTTGGCAGTGGTTCTTCAGCTCGTGGGACTCGGAATGGGACTGTGTTTCATGTTTTCGTGACGGCGTAAGTAGAGACGTCGAGTAGCTAGCCACATATTCTCGGTCGGCCGTGGTTGTGAACAGGCATGGATCTCGGCTGGGATTATGGTTGTCGAGGTAGACGAAAGGTGTGCCCGGCCTGGAAAGCAACTGTTGGAACGCGACGTCGGGCCAATACATATGCTTTGGCAACAGCAATCTGTCCAAGCCAGCATTGATGTCAGCATTTGCTCAGCCGTAACCGAATATCTCTAGGGAGAGGCATTGAGTCGAGTGGAAGTGGTCGGATTGCAGGTTGGTAGTCGCCAACCCCTTGCACTCGGGACGCGGATCACCGTTGATGCCCATGGTCGAGCCTTGTGCCCAAGTAACAGGGGAGCTGGGGGGGGAGACGTTACGATTTGGGACTGGAGATTGGGCTTCTGGGCTGAAGGTAGCGAATGTTGGAGGAATGGAAAGACGGTGGGAAGGACAAGAGAACAAACGAATTGCAATCGACAGGAGCAACTGAAACAGTGACGAAGGGCAACGGCAAGGCAGTGGCTGGTCGGAACAGGTGGGGGGCTGTCAATCATGTCGGGTGCGACAGGGGCACGATAAGCGGAAGACCCACTATAAATGCGCATCAGCCAGGAACTAACGCCAAGGAACGGCGAAGCTGTGGAGACACATTTCGAGAAGCACAGCACGGGCCCCCTTCTCTCATTCTGTGATGGAGAAAAGGGGATGATCGTTGTTGTTGTTGTTGTTGTTGCTGACATGTCGAGAATGAAATAGAAGGGTCTTGGAATTGCTACAAAGTCTAGTGTCTGTGATATCAGATCTTCATCGTGGGCTGATCGGGTTCTAGGTACATCCATCCTGGTCTCGGGCGCCAGTCTTGGGGGACTTTGTTGGATACCTTAAGGAAGGAAGAGAGGGACATCAAAGCGAGGATTGAAGAGGGAGGGATGGATGTGCCGAGATTCGAGATTAATTGTCCCCGAGAATGTCACTTGCATTGGGCCTTACCGTGGAGCAAGAGATTTGTTACAGGCAAGCCACGTTGGATGGTAGTAGTGCTAGAGACTGTTGGTCTTTTCTGTCCACGATATTCTTTGACCAAGCAGATGGCCAAATGCAAATTTGAATGTGTCTAGAGGTAGATATCCCATCGTGGCTGTGGTTCTCTAGAGCCCAAGTGGAAGGCAGGAACCACGGGGATCTCGCATTCTCTCCTGTAAGGTAAGGTAAGGTAAGGTAGGTAGGTATTACGAACCGTATTGCCCTTCTGTCATGACTACCCTAGGTACCTGACATAATTGCTTTTTCCGAGTCATGAATTTCCCACATCCCGTCATGCTTCACAAGCCAGGGGCTGCTGTCACCATGATCGGATGAACCTACCCAGTCAAAGTCAAGACGACATGCGCCAAAGAAGCAGTCACAACATTGACACTTCTCGTCACCTTTCAGCTTGTCCGACGTGCACCTCCTGCTGTGTTAGGTTGGTGTAATACACTCAAGTTGAAGTGCTTAAACCCCTTTCGTGACCCCTGTCGCCAATCTGGACCTCCAGTGGACTTTTAGTGCTTTTAGCGCATTGCGGTAAAATTGGGTGCGTGGCCGGGCACCTCCAGCTCTGCGGCACCACTCACGAACTGAATCGTTCCTGTGGGCAGCTTCAACACCTTGAGCAGCAAATTGAGAAAGTCCACGGCAGTCGCTCATTCAATTCTCCTCAGTTCCAACCCACGAAACCCACGACTCGACGACGAGCCCACGTCCAAGCTCCTGTCCTCAGCACATCCAGGACCCTCGATCCCCGACCCAATACGCTCGCTTCCTTCGTTCTACAGAGAGACAGAGGCACTTGGCCCGTCTCCTTTCACACACGTTCATCATATTGGATCCCAGACAGGAGGGACCCAGCTGAGAGCAGCCGCAGGTCCGGACGAACCATTCAATCATGTGTAATCACGAAACCCCTCAGCTTAGCTGACTGACCTCTCGAGTCCATCTAGACAGTCAAGCACGGCACATTCCATACACCACCGATACCTACCGACCCTGATTTCCTATCTCTTAATCGTAAACCCTAATATCGGACACGGCTCAGTCCCAAGACCCTCGTTACAGAACAGGGCACCTCGCACACGACCGCTGTATCGAGACGAACCGACCGACCGACCGACCGATCGACCGACCGATCGACCGACCGAGTCAGTCTCTACTAGGAGAAGCTGAGCTGAGCTGAGCTCCAGTTCCTAGCTCAACCTAGCTCAACGTACCCGCGACGGTGACGGCGACAAATAATTCCAGACATAGATGCCTTTTACTTGGCCAACACAGTCAAGATGCCCTGGCAACCACTGCCCCGAATTGCCTTCGCCGTAGCCACATACCCCTTTACTGCCTCCAGCGCAGCAGACCTCCCCCTCGAAATCGGCGACGAGCTATACATTATCGAAGAGACTCCCGATGGGAACTGGTTGAGAGGCTACTTGGTCGCCCCTCCAAGTCTGCTTGCTGGCCTGACCAGTGAAAAGGGCCAGACATTGGAGGCTCGCGTCTTCAGCGGCATCTTCCCCCGCAGCTGTGTCGAGGTACGAGAAGTGCTGGGCGAGAGTGACGAGACTGACGACAGCGAGCCCGACAATGGAGATGATGCAAATGGAGAGAGCAAGAGGAGAAAGAGCAAAAGGGCGACAAAAGAAGGCCGATTGTCCGTCCCCGTAAAACGCGATCCCAATGCACCTCGACCACCCGCTCCCGTGCCCATGCTCAAGATTGGCGACGAGACACCCACTTCGGCTGCCGAGCCCCTCATTGATGAGATCGCATCCTGCCTCCGCGAATGGCACTCGACAAATCTCCACGGGCTCCTCCTCTCGAGACAGTACGAAAAGCTCGACGCTCTCTCCAAGCTGATTACGAGCCTGAACCTCTCCCGACAGCAGTTTCTACACAATGTCCTCACTACTTGTGAATACGAAAACCTACGCGAAAAGACGGTCTGGGATCTGGTCCGTGTCAACAAGCTATGCGGAGGAGAGGTTATTGTGCGCGACCCAAACGCCCGTGGCCGTGTCATGACGGGGGATGATTCCGTCGTGGAAATCACCCAACTGCAGTCCGTCATGAGCCTGTTGGACGAGCCTCCCACGACCACGCCCGAGTTGACGGCCTTGCACCATTTGATGGTGGACATCAGAATGTTTGCCGGCGCATCCAACGAACCGACAACCCTGGTTCTGTACCTGGCCACCAAAGCACCCGGAGGACCAGTGACGCCCCTTTCAGAGAGTTACATAATAGATGTGCCAGCTGGCGGCCAATTAACCAACATAGCGCGGACCTCACAGATGCGCACGCTCTTCTCCGATCTTTCGTCTGCCGACATTGGTGATGTGCCGTCCTCCAAGTCCGAGCTGTTGTTGGTCGTCAAAATCCGGGCAACTCAGCCAGTTGTAGCAGCTAAGCCGAATTCTCGATCAGGCGGGCCCTCGAATAGCTCGCCCCAGGTACCATCCAAGGAGTCAAAACCACCCCTGGCGTCGGGGAACAAGGCCTTGCGTAGGAGCATGGTTTGGGCCAACAAGAACACCCGGGGCGCGTTTACTAGGAAAAACTCGGACCTTGAGGCCTTGTCGGAGCAGGCGGAAGAGCAGCAGATGAGCAACGAGGATCTTGAGAGCAGGGAAGGAGCACCACCAAGCACGGCTAACTCGAGGGCAGGTCGTGCTTCAATGGACGGCCAATCTCCACCAACTACAGCCGACAGGACGGTTGGGTTTGGAGTACTCAAGCTGAACTCGATCATGAAGCAACAGGGCGAAGAGGTCGAACATGTGGTCAACATCTGGGCGCCTTGCTCCAAGTTCCCGTCGGACAGACATGGCGACAGTGAGGGATGGGACCCACTAATAAAGGAGATATGCGACAGTAGATCAGCTCCTTACGAGAGATCAAGGAGAGCCGAAAGGTTACAGATACGACTTCGGTCCTTCAACAACCCCGACGCCGATGCCCTCATCAAGATGACGCCTACGATTTTGTCTGGGATCTGCAGGACTAACAAGATGGGTTTCTCTGGAGCGCCGACCAAGCCACGATCGGACATCTATGTCACCATTGACGAAGCCACCCTGACCCGACAGACACTGCTGT